CGGAATGCTTGAAGTGTCGCCATTTTAAGGGAAGTTATGGGCTGGGCAAGAGAGTTGTGATCGTAAATTTGGTCGTAACTCGCGAATCTCCAACCTTTAAAAGGCCCGCTCTGGAAAATTGCAAAGGATCTGGATTTTTTAGTTATAAAGAGCATAAAGAGAACCCTAGGGAGAGAAAGTGACAAAGAACGACATTGGGAGCAGATTGGAGCGATCTAAGGACAATGGAGCTCGATCTTTCAACCTTAGAGTGTCAATTTCTAGCTTGGAGAAGATTTTCATTCCTCACGTGATGATTTCTCATCCAAACTTGGTGTTTTCCCTTCTCTTCATGGAGTAAAATACCTTTTCATCTAGGTATGAAGAACCCTAGTTTTGTATGTTAGAAATGGTTGTATGAACCCTATTTGTAAGTGATTGATTCGATATATTCAATTGAGGCATTAATCAGAATTGCATGAGTCTTGATCAAACTTTTGTTATTTCTACTTTAACCTATAACGATAGTCTTTCCAAAGGTTAATAGAGCAACCTTAAATTGAAAGTGGTGAATCGATTGCTTTAGTCGAGAAATCGATTCACTGCTCTGTACTGGAATTAAATCTTGTAGAGGAAGTTTGGTGTGATATTGCCTTGGTTAATTAGTTTATGTCGGTGGAGGTTAGTCACCCATCGGGTATTCAAACTGAGAGGGTCTGGATTACATTAGTCGAGATTCCAGCCTTGTCAAGAACTTTCCGCAATATATCTATCAATCGGAGCAAATTGGGAACTTATCATCTGAACTAACCTCATATTAGGGGGGCTCATATCTGGATGACCTTTAGCCGCTTGAAAACCAGAACATTTCCTACTTTCTGTTTACTTTGCTTTTGAACAGCTCACTACACTTTTGTTGCCGGATAATAGAAATTCACGGAGTAGGTAGTACATCTAGGAGGTGGGTTGACATTTATTACTGGTCCCACTACAATGCATTTTTTTAACTACGATTGCACTATGGTCGTAGTTTGGTGTTGTGTTTTAGCGAGTCAACCACTTTGAGAATTATAATACATTCATTCACATCAATTAAAGCCTTATCGGCGGCAAGGAAGGTTCATCATAGTATAAGGGGAATTTCTACATCCTCATGAATATCAAGGATAAAAAAAATCCGTAGGATAGTGGAATTCGCCTACATGGACTAGAAGGTCCTCCACAATACATACCCCTATGATAAACAACATACAAATCAGCTAAATGCACGCTCATTCTTGTTTTCTTAAGGTCACCTAGGCCTAATTTCATGATAAGTTTGTAAAGCCTGACATTTATACTTGCACCTAAGTCCGCCAAGGACCTTTCTATATGCAATACACTTATGTGACAAGGGATAGCTTCACCATGGAAGTTTCACTCAGCTTCTTCTTGTTCTTGGCGAGGACTTCCTTCAAAACTTGGCATACTTTGGCGTTTTGAACCATAACAAACACGAATGGAATGATGATGTCAAGCTTCTTCAGAAGATCCATGAAATTCCCGAACTAGGTCTCAAGGTGATCCTTATGCATTTTGTTGGGAAAGGAGTTTGAGGCTTGTACTCAACCATGGGTGGTATCGGCTTTGCCTTCCGAGCCTCTTCTTCCTTCTCTTCTTCGATTTTTCTTCAAGATATGATGGAGGAAGCTCCAGTTTGACAACTTTCTTTGGGGTGCCTCTTTGGTTACCTTCACACTTTAGAGTGAGATAGCATGCAACCCCGCTGTTTGATCCTTGGGGTTGGAAACAGTTTGAGCCGAAAGTGCCCTAGGAGGTCTTTCGGTAAGAGTTTCAGCAAGGTTGCCAATTTGGGTTTCCATATTTTGAAGATGAGCTTAGTGGCTCCTCAATCCGGTTTCAAAAAAGTGGAGAACTTGTTCGAGGACACCTCCATTAACTTCTCAATTGCCTCTAACTTTTGGTACTTGAACTCACAAAATATTGAAAAGGTTTTCAAGTTTGGAAAGCTTGTCCGGTTGTTATTGAGGGAAGCCTTGCCCGCCTTGTCGTTGATACGCTTATGGTTGGAATGTCTGGGCTTGGAAAGAGGGCATTTGTTATTGATAAAAAGGTCTTTGCTGTTGGCATCCTTCCATTGGTGCTTGAAATCTAAGAGGTCTTGGATTTGAACAAGACAACCATGAAAAGTTAGGATGTTGGCGCCACCCTGGATTATGAGTTTTGCTATAGGGGTTGTTACCTCCCCTAGCATTAGTAATGCAATCAACTTTTTCTTGTGGTGTGGTCTCCTTCATCATAGCTTGGAAATCATTTAGGCCATGGTTTGTGATTTTACACCATCACATAAATTCACAAGAGCCTTGGGTTAGCTACTTGAAGGTGCTTCGATTTTCTTTACCATCTTAATCGAATCATCTATCTTCGCCTCGAGTGAAGGATGAGACTCAACCGAGTGTGTGCCTTTCTCTCGTTAATTTATTTCCTTTTTCTAGTGACTCTCCAATCATATCCACGAGTTGTCGTCTCCTCAAACAATTGTGTCATTTGAGGAAGAGTTATTGTTAAGCATATCTCGTTGGCAAAATGAGTCATTAAGTATGGGGTCTTCTTAGAAGAGTCCATTGTATAAGGTAACGATCTTGTGTATCTCTCGCATGCATCTCTAAGAGTTTCAACATCTTCTTAGGCAAAGTGAGTGATGGATTTACAAAGTTTGATTGTCTTGGATGGTGGGAAATAATGGGCCATGAACTTCTCCATGAAATCCTTCCAATAAGTTATAGAGAGGTGCTTGGTTGTGGACCAAATCCATACCCATCCACTCAACGATAAGGGGAACAATCTCAATCGGAGCGCATCTTTTGGTACTCCATTCGCTTTAATCCCCCTCATGATCTCCAAGAAATGATTGATATGATCTTTTGGTGCTTCACTTTGAGACCAAAGAATTGGATGTTGTTCTGAATCATCGAGATCACACTCGTCTTGATCTCAAAATTATTGGCCACAATAGGGGGATGTCGGATGCTTGGTCGAGTATCCTCGACCCTCAGGGTAAAGTAGTACCCCCATGCTTCAGCCTTATCTTCAACTTTGAATTCCTCTTCCCGAGGGTTGTGTGTTACTAACCTCTCCTTAGCTTCTCTAGCACTCTTTCCTTGCAAGAAGTCGAAGGGTTCGTTTGATGTTGTGGTCTAGCGGTTGCAAGTCCTCCATATTACTTCGGATCATGAACTACCTACAGCACACTTAAACAATACAACATGAAATGCAAAGTAAAGTGAAACAAGGATTAACTGGTTATTCCTTAACCTGGGACAAAAGTAAAAGCTAAAGTAACAATAGTTCACTTTTCTTAATAATTTAGCCGCGTCTCCAACAACGGTGTCAAAAAGTTGACTCGTACCTTACTACACTTTCCAACTAATGGCCAAGTATAACAATCAATCTAGTGCAATATAGGGTAAAGAAGTTTAATTTATTACTACTCGGTGAACTAATCGTTATCTAGATTACAATATGTTGTTTTCATTAAGCAACTAAACAAAAAAAAACAAAGCAAGAATGATTTGAATTCAATTAAGAGAAGGTCATTCAGGTGTCTCTAGACCTAAGTTAGGTCGATGTTGAATTCCCCTACCTTGCCCACTCTTAATCTATACCACAAAGAGTGCTAAACTAGCTTTGATTCCCTGTTCGAGCAATACAAGCCCACTTAAATGAGCAACCCGGAGGAGAGTTTCCACAATCCGTATAGAATACCTAAGGCATGAAATTTAGACTCCCTCTAAAGGATATCTCGATCCAGTACAATATTGTAGACCAAATCACCCTCGTTTAATCAACCAACAATAAAGAATTGAAGATGCTACAATCAACCGAATTAGATATTCCCTCTCTTAGGTCGATAACTCAAATTGGAGAGTGTGATTAATACTCAAACAATCTCATGATAAATACTTCAAATCAATAAATAATAGTGAGAATAACAAAATAAGATTCATGTAACATACGTGGCTAGAAATCTACACATCCAGTGGGAATGGAGTCTACTCCATAGTGAGAGAAAGAGAGGAAAACACAAACTCATAAAGAGAAATCATCTTGTGGGGATGGGTTCTTGATATTGAGCTTCAATCTTCACTCCTAGATGATGAATCTTCCCTCCGATTGAGGTTGGATGGCTCCAATCACCTTCTAGGGCTCCTCCTTCGTCACTTTCTCTCTAAACTTTGTATCTCTTTGCATAAATGGCTTCAAATATGGTTTATACCCAGAATTGTGCAAGTCACAATTTCATGTCACGGCCATGACGTTCGACAATGACTGTAACGTCAATCAGAAACTCACCACATCACTTGCACAAGTCACTACTATGTTGCCCATGTCACGGTTGAAACCATGACATGTGTAGGTCATCCGCGACATGTGCAATCACTCCTGGAAGTCCGTTGAATGTCACAGATTCTTCTGTAAATGTCACAGTTGAACCCGTGACTTTTGCACACCCATGACATGTGGAAAATCTATTGTTAGTCTGTTGAAGGTCACGACCTCTTCTGTAAATGTCACGGCTTGGTTGTGACATGCGTTCTCTGAACCATGACATTTGTCACCCTGTCGTCTTTGTCTCGGTTTCGACTGCAAATGGTCCAACAAACGTTCCTTCGCCATATTCACCTAGGATCTTAAATATACTGAACCAAGCACAAACTAGCTTGAAACGAGCTAAAAACAACAAATATCAAGACAAACATGTTTTATTTGGGAATGATTTGGGGTGTTAGATAGTTGGTTCCTTTTTGACAGATTATGCATTTTGAACTTGGTTTATAGAGTAAACAGTTAATGAATATGGTGTTTAATCTTAATCATCACATTGTTTAAATTTGATCGATGGTTTCATTATGTTACGAAATTATGTGGTTCAATGAACAAATAACAAATGAAATAAAAACCAGGCTTCTTGGTTGAGTATCCATGAGTATTGGGTAATACCCAGTATGCATTCAAATTTGGACATAGTAAAAAATTTACTATCAATACTCCTACTTTAGACAAATGTCAATATACTAAAATATCTTCTCTCGCTGATACCAAATACACATCTCCACCCCCGCCCTTTACCATCCCTAATTGCCCACAAACTATTTTCAGCCAAAAATGATTTTTCGAAACCTATCCAAATATTAACGTTTTTGGCTTTCTTCTAATGGATATATATCATCAAATCACTACCACATTTCCTTTATAATCCAAACACGTTCTTCACATGGTTCTAGAATCTAGACCAAAAACAATTTACAGTGATCGGTTGCGGGGAGCAAAACCGGTCAGGTCTGCTGCCCTGTATCTTCATGGACAAGAAGAGTCCTATGATTCCTTTTCCATGATATGATTTGATTTGTCCGAGGACTTTAACTGACCAGAACATGTGCTAATGCTTCTGTCTCCGCCGCTGCATGGTACTAAAACCGAAAAACTTGGTCGAAACAGAAGGAGCCCATACAGTTTGGCGCCAAAATTTGATCTAGTTTCTTGTGACCTGCCCAGAAACATCACAACCCAGTACATATAAGAACATGAAACTGTCTAGTTTAGTCAAACATATGGACTGGAAAGGAAACAAATACTTTCTAGTTGCCGCTCCCGTGGAGAACCAGAACAATCAAACTCAAATACTGTTGAGTTGAGGATATATCATATATTTACTAATTAGCTTATAGCGCAAAACCAGACTGATTAATTGGTTAAGTTAGATAGAGCAAATAAGTCAGGAGGCAAGATCTCACAACTCAACAAGAGTATCAACTCATATTCAACTGCAACAACCGTATTAAGAATTAAGAGGCAATAATGTGCTTGCTCATCAATGAAACATAACATCAGGCTTCGTACTCAAACAGAGTGTTCCTCCTCGGTAACAAATAACAATTTTATACTATGGAATTACTTAATAATGCAGTAAAAGAAATATCCCATTTTTTCCAGGTGCCTTCAAAGCGTTATTAAAGTGCAAGTGATTTTTTCCCAACAGTTTCAAGCACAAATTGCATATAAAACCGGGGGGAAACACTCATATTGATGCAAGAATGAACATACCTCACTACTGCTTGGACTTCCCAAAAAAGTGTTCGATCTGCAAACATCCCTGAGACTGCAAACTAGTCGTTTTGCTTCTTGACTTGAACCTTTTTGCGGGCATGGAACTCTCTGAACCACCCTGAATATACAGTTAACAGTAAACTCGATAAATAGATTAAGCATGGAGCCACATGAGAAAACAGGCCAAAGACAAGCATGTTAAGAGGTATGCATGTATCTCAACATTTCTTTCATGATTGCATGAATAAGCTTACTAGTGTCCTTGTCGAAATGGCCAGGAAATTGACCAATGCAGTCAACTACAAAATTAGACAAAACCTAAGGATAACTTTTCAGCTAAGCATGCTCATGATCAATATTGTAAGGAAATGTCGGACAGTATGTTTTGTATTCCATCTACAGTATATGCTCACCATGAGGGCTTGATTCAGAGGTCTCGCGACTTTAACTCTCCCACCCCTTCCATCAGCTCCAACAGCAATCAAGTCTCCACTGTTTGTGCTTGTTTTCTGTACTGCAACCGACTGCTTGCTTTGGTCACGTTTACACCACTTCCCAAGATACCGGGTTGTTCCATCAGGACCCAGTAATCCACTTGAGAAACATATATCTGCTGGAAATAGTGTAGTTCAACCAGTAAAAGCATACATTAGCAAACAAATCTTGAAAAAATATAACTTGTTGTATAATGGAAGCATCCATCATGTTCTTGAATCTGTTCAGCTGCAGACTTACTAGATTAAACTGAAAGTTGGTGCATAGACAAACTACCTGGTTTTGAAAAACAGGCGGAGGATGGTAACTCCTTTTTTATGTTCATCGTGGGGCAAACATCAATGTTACCACCTATAGAAAAGGATGCTTCCTTAGCTGCAGCTGAGCTGGTGGTATCCTTATTTCTATTGGTTCTTGTTCCAAGAAGTATCCCACTTCCTGCATTATCCATTGGATGCTCTTTGGTTTGTTGTTTTCGAGTTGGGTGTTCCAAATCAAGATCTTGATCTCCCTCGTCTATGATAATGTAATTGTTCCTTTTTTTATCACAAGCCTGATTACCTGAAGGCTCGTCAGTAAAATTTGCAGCATAATCATTGATGGAAAAAGGGCCTTTTGCATCACCAATAGGGCTTCCCGTCCGGACCAAGCAATCTAGAGATATGGAGGAAACTTGTTCGTTTTCACTTCCAGGTCGAAAAATCTCAGAAGTAGGGGTATCTAACTTATCACCAAGTCCACCTGGAATTTTCTTCGTAGAGCTTGTATCCTTTGAAGTCTTTAAGAGCCTTAAAGCTTGATTCTCCTTTAGTTCAACTTCCATCTCCAGTTCCTGGATCCTAGTCTGTGTGACGCAAAGACAGATTATCATGCATGTCATAACGGCATTCATATTTGTCAAAAACAAAGCAGAGGCAAGGAAATCTTGGTATGAATTTCCCCAGTTAATACTTCTATTGATCAAGTTGCCCAATAACTTACCTTCAACCTAATTATCTTTTCTTTTGCTTTCCCAAGTTTTTTGGAAGAACGAGCCTCTCCTCTTCCAAGCTGGTTGCACTTGGCCATTAACTCTTGGTAGGTCCTGCAGAAAAAAAAAACTTACCATTAAACTATAAAGCAAGGCAAAGAAACAACAATAATACAGTATATATTGTCCAAGCTCTAGTTGTTGTTTCTCCAGTTCTTTTGACTTGCACTGTATGTCTAACAAAAGTAACAGAGATGAACACATTTTGTAGCTGAAGTTCCTTTGGATATGAATATATAGCACACATAAAAGGTGTTTCAGCCACTATCAGTTCCACAATAACACTGATTTAGAAACTTCAAGGTGACGCCCAACAACTCATAAAACTGAATATCGCCATTCTCTCCAAGACAGGAAGGGAGACTTACTTGTTGCGGGTAACCAAGGACTTCCGGAGAATGTCAATAGTATCTTTAGCATTGGCCTCGTTACCAAAGGAAGCAAGCTTTAAAATCTCCTCTTCCTCCAGATTCAGGTCTGAGGCCCTATATTGAAGATGACAACAACCATATTATCCATAAAGTGTACGTCCTAGTCATAGCCATTCAAGTTCTACCCAGACCTAATTTAACTATACTTACAGTTTCAGTGCTGCAAGTTCTTTGGCCACGGCCATGCTCTTATCTTGCAACTTCAAATGGTCCGCCTTCAGCGCATCAAGCTCCTAGAACAATGACAAATCTGTTAACTACCAACAACCTTGTCTATCCCGCCCAGAAAATGCCAGCACCAGTAGCCATCAGTTTTGGGCATGGATGATTCTCAAATTTAAAGAATCATCAAATGTGCAAAGTGCTATCAAGGGGCAGCAAAAAGTAAATAGTTGATACGCAGAAAGGCCAAACAAAAGACACTAATTAAAAGAAAACACTGAATAAGCGGAAATCAATAACCAGAGAGAATGGCATCTCAAATAACAACACACCTGAGATTTGAAACGAAGCATCTCCTGAACTGATGCTTTTTCTTGCACCACGTCCTTCTTCAACGCAAGCTCAGCCTTCAACTGCTTCTTACAATCGTACAACTGAGACAATAATCCAGGAAAGAACCTGGGTTTAAACCCCCTAAAAGCCGAAGACATTTCCCCCCGTTACCATGACGTCAAAATTGAAAGTCATTCACGAAACCCTTACCTCACCATTAAGCCGCTCAATTTCTTTCCCTTGGCAATCCACTGTAGAGTTTAGCCCCCGTACCTTCCCCTCCAATCTCACAATCTCTCCGCCGAGCAACTTGGCATCGGCCTGTGTCTCCTCGCACTGCGACGCACAGTAGTCGGCAGAGCCCCCCAATGACTGGAAATAAAGACGGGCCACATCGGAGCCTTTGCATCTCTGCTTGCAAACCGGGCAGGTACACTTCTTTTTGCTCGAACAATACTCGAACCATTGCTGCAGGCTAAGGGTATTTTCGAACACAATGGAATTTCAACCATCAGTTTGATCGACCAAATTTAACGAACGCAAAAGAGGATGTTAGGTTAGAGTCGGAAACAGTACCATAGTTCGTGGAATACATGGCCGCAGATGGAGATAACTTGGAGATCCTCGACGATGGGCTTCAGATCTTCGTAGCAGATTGAACAGATTGTTTTCGCGAAGGCATTACTCATCGTCGGTGATCATGCCGTTTCGACTCCTCCTACTCTTTCCCTTTTCAGCACTTTACCACTAGCCTAAGCATAGGGTTTCGCTTTTTCATGGTTTGGGGAGCAAAATTTTGAGAACTGGGAAACTATCGGGCGGGAAATCACTAATCAGGATTTTCGCTTCGAAATTTATTGAAAATTTCTCGTCCCGGCATTCACCCGCACAATTTCCCCCGGTAATTAGCCGTTTTCAATTTTCATTGAGGGACAAATTGCACGAGGGTGCAAATTGGGAAAAAATCCAAAACTACCACCGTTTAAAAAAAAATTACAAAAATACCACCGAGACGAAATAATTTCCAAAAATACCATCATTTATTAAAAATCGCTCATTTAATGAGCGGTTTTATATAAAACCGCGTCTCTAGGCGGCGGTTACAACAAAAAACGCGCCCCCAAGGCGCGGTTTGACCTTGCATGGCTGTCAAACCGTGTTGCCACGTGGCGCTGCATCAAACCGCCAATCAGAGGAGCGTTTAGACGGATAAAACGTGTGCCAAGTCAGCAGTCCGTGTCGTCCACAGAAACCGCCTCCCCGAGGCGCGGTTTGACCGTTGGGAAAATGAAACCGCTCCCCCGATGCGCAGTTTGACCGCAGGGAAACGAAAACCGCGTGTCTGACGCGCGGTTTGACCATCGGAATCTAAAACCGCGTGCTGGGGGCGCGGTTTTTGGTGGCGAGAAATGACTCCACCGACCCTCCCCCACGCGGTTTGAACCCTATAACCCCCCCCCCCCTTTCTCTTTTCTGCACACCATCCACCACACTCCCCTCTCTCCCTCTAACTTCTCTCTACCCAACCCCTCCCCACCCAACCTTAGAATTAGTTTTTTTGTTGGTTGCGGCTAAGTCCGATCTGCCTCCAAAATACTTTTTCTTTGGTTTTCACTTAAAAACCGTCGAACCTCTGTCCGGATTCCGAGAGAATGGCCGATTTCGCTCAAGAAGATGGTCTTTTTTATGATGATTATCAAACGGTACGTACTCATTTTTCCCAATTGTTGTTGTTGTTATAATGATTTATTTAATTTATATACTAATGATTTATGTTATTGTTATGCTATCGTAGGTTGGGCCGAATGTTGATATTTTCAATCAACGATATTATGTTGATCAAGGACCGATTGATCCGACAGTTTTATACGATCAAGCAAATCATCGTTCAAGAGACATTTGGAACGACCACAAGGTACATATTATTTATCATCACTTGTAATTTGTATTTTGTTAAAGTAATTTATTTGTTGTACAATAATTTACTTAATTTTTAATCGTATTGATTATTTTCAATAATTTAAATCAATACAATACAACACTTATTGAGACTCTGTTATAAAGAAATGCATGTCTATGGAAATGGGGACTTAAGAGATCATCATGATCCCCCCATGACCTGGGAAAATCGGGTTCTAAGCGATCCTCGGATCCCCCCTTTTTCTGTCAAAAAGACTGTGTTTCTAAGAAGATGTATACCTCTCCTACGAGTCTTACGAGTGTACTTGTATTGCTTTAAATTATTGAAAATAATTAATACGATTAACAAAATAATATATTTGATTTTATGTGTATGTGTACAAAAAATATTTATACTTAAATTTCGAATTATTATTGCATCTTTTAATATTATTTATTAGATAATGTATATTTCTCTAAAACAACCTTGCTTTAATTATTATTGCATCTTTTAATATTATTTATTTATGCTAATATTAATGTTTATTATATAATGTATATTTCTCTAAATGAACCTTGATTTAATTAATATTGCATCTTATAATATTATTTAGTTATGTTAAAATTAATATTTAATTAGATAATGTATATTTCTATAAAACAACCTTGATTTAATTAATATTGCATCTTATAATATTATTTAGTTATGTTAAAATTAATATTTAATTAGATAATGTATATTTCTCTAAAACAACCTTGATTTAATTAATATTGCATCTTAGAAAATTATTTTAGTTATGTTAAAATAAATGTTTATTAGATAATGTATATTTCTCTAAAACAACCTTTATTTATATATAAATTGTATCAACATAATATATTTATATATGTATAAATCATCAACTTATAATGAAATTTAAATTTTTTTCTAGGATGCATACCATATAGTCCGCTATAGGGGCACAACGAATGTGCTTGAATGGAACGACGTCATCTTGCCCTTTCTAAAAAGGGCAAGATTGGATTCGATTCGGCATTTCAATGGGATCAAGATCGACCGCCAACTCATCACGGCGATGGTAGAGAGATGGCGAAAGGAGACACACTGCTTCAATTTTCGTGAAGGCGAGTGCACCATCACACTTAAGGACATCGCCATCTTAACCGATCTCCCCATCGATGGTGATGTTGTTTGTGTGGATTCTACGCCACCACCTAAAGTTGTTGCCAATATGAGTGGTTGGCAACATTTTATATGGACGGTCACCGGGTTGTGTCCGCCAGAGAAGGGAGATCACGATGCGGATGGTCATCCACCTTTGTCCAAGGGCCAAGTATCCATCACTTGGTTGACAGCGGAGATCAGGCGTAAGCACAACCCTGAGTTCGGAGGCATTCCCCTCACGGAGGAAAGTTCGGAACGTGATAAAGAAATTTATGCACGTATCTACATCCTCGGCATGATCGGAGGAGTCTTCTTCCCCAAGAAATCCAACAACCTAATCAGCAATTCATGGTTGAAGATCATACTTGGTGATTGGGATGACATGGGAAACCTGAGTTGGGCATCTGCTTGCTTAGCTCATCTCTACCGATCTCTATGCAATGCTAGTGCGAGAGCGGTGAAGGAGATTGATGGGGCTATGCTCATCGTCCAATTTTGGGCTTGGGAGCATTTGCCATGGATTGCGCCGAAGGTTGAACCCGACAGGGAATGGGGTCCCGACCATCCCCTACGACATGAAGCTTATGGTTGTAGGTAAATGTTTTCTATCCCACTCATAGTTCTCACAATTTTTTACTAATTGGATATTTTATAACGAATTGGGTATTATGTATTAACACTCCATACTATTTGGATTGAATAGGTGGCTTGGTGAAAAAACATGCAACAACCTAGGAGCGCATAAGTTGGAGGAGTATCGTAGGAGGCTTGATCGCCTTTGGGAAGCAGAGGTGAGCATCATAATACGATATTAAAATCTACTTTTTTATGTTATATTATTATGTTGATTAATGGTTTTTTTATAAACCTTTGTAGCTCAAGTTCGATCCGTATCCAGAACGGATTGTTGCGCACCACGTTCACAAATTCCCGTTACATCCCGGTCAGTGGTGCACCAGAGTTCCACTAATCTGCCACTATATAGTGGAGTGGCACTTGCCGGATCGATGTCTACGACAATTTGGACGTGAGCAATGCATACCATTGGATGTCCCGGAGAGTCGGAAGGGGTACCACGGGAAAGATGGTCGACAGGGGCCTACTAATTGGCCGGAGGAGTATGGAAACTTGATCCGCCTTTGGAATGTTAGGCAAGATCAGGATATTGTGACGGCATCTAATGTGGGGCGGATGGGCTACCATGACCCATACCTGGAAACCTACCGTCGACAATCTGTTCGCTACATGACCCCCGAAGGAGCGGCGGACGGAGCTTTGGTAAGTCATTATTTTTTTTTATTTTTTTAGTCATGCGGTGCATTATTTTTTAAATGGCTAACTTTGTTATTTTCTTCGAATTAGGTTGATGGCATCGAGCGAATCCACGACCTCGCGCGGACGGCAGATCCTTTGGCGGCGGGTCGAGAGGTTGGGCTAATTCGGAGGATAGCGAACAATCTCCTTGGTTGTATGCGCACCTTCAGGGCATATTTGACGGATATTCTGCATCTTCTCTTTAAATTTCTTCTCTTGGTACGCGACAGCTGTTGAATATAAAAAAAAAATCAGATAAGCAAGATCGACCTTATTTAAAGCAATACAAGTACACTCGTAAGACTCTTAGGAGAGGTATACATCTCCTTAGAAACGCAGTCTTTTTGACAGAAAAAGGGGGGGATCCGAGGATCGCTTAGAACCCGATTTTCCCAGGTCATGGGGGGATCATGATGATCACTTAAGTCCCCATTTCCTTAGACATGCATTTCTTTATAACAGAGTCTCAATAAGTGTTGTATTGTATTGAAACATTTCATACTTTTATACAAATGAAAAAATGTACAGAGTCACAATTAATTAGAACGCTTACCGATCCACCATATACTGTCAGCAAGCTTCTTTCGCTTGAAATGATGGTTCCAGTTGCTCTTGAAATGCCGTATGCACCATCTCTGTGACCAGTTCCAGGCTGGATCCAAGCCTAAGATAGCAGCCTGTATTCCGGCGTGGCGATCTGAGATGATAGTAAGGTTCGTCCGCTTAGTGACATGGAGCTCAATTTGTCTAAAGAACCAGCCATAGCTATCGGTATTCTCTCCCTCCACAATGGCAAAGGCTAATGGATATACTAATCTATTTGCATCTACTCCGCTGGCAATCAGTAGAGTACCCTTGTACTTGCCGGTAAGGAATGTTCCATCAACTTGAATCACAGGAACACAGTATGGAAACCCATCAATACATGGCTTGAAGGCCCAGAAAAGACGCTTGAATTGGCGATTGTTACCAGGCGCCGGCGATTGAATTTCTTCATCTTGGTAGCGAGGCGAGAAAATGGTGCCAGGGTTAGACACCTCCAACGCCAAAATCAATTTGGGAAGGAATGCATATGATTCTTCCCAGTCACCAAACACGGCAGCCATTGCTTTCTGTTTCCCATGCCATGCTTTCTTGTAGTTAATGATATAACCATAACGACTAGAAATGTGGGAGATGATGGTTTTGACCTTCAGGTCGGTTGCTCCTCAATTAGATGTTTGATAGCCGCGGCAACCACCCTTGATTTCAACTGTCGATGGCCTTGGGATGTTATTGATGACACACATGTGTGTGTGTTCACCGCACGGGATATGACCCAATGGCCGACTCTCTTGCTCTTGATAGCCCGAACCCTAGCTTTGCATCCCTCATTTTCATTTCTGCATCGAACCAACATCCTCTTTGTGTCGGAATGGGTTGTTTGCCATTCAAAACTCCGAGTC